ATAAAAGAAATACCAAGAGAAAAGGGGTTAAAAACAACAAAGACAAAGAAAAACGAATAAGGAACAGAGTAGATACTGGAATAATAATGAACATACAAACAATAGACATAGATAGTTAACAATAAAAGAGATACATGAAAGAATAAAAGGAATAACAAGCAGATGGGGAAAAGGAGAATACAAATAAATACTTAAAAAAATATGAAGGTAAAAGGAAAAGATGGTATGATATCCTTCAAGAAGTATATGCAATTAGAAAGAAAAAGAGAATTGAAAAAATGCAAGAAAAATTTAAGGAAAGAACAAAAGGATGGAAAGAAGAAGACATCCAAGCGATTGAAACAGAAATCAAAAGTAGAAATCCAATCAAAGAATTACAAGAAAGATGTAAAATGGCTAAAATAATAAATGAAACAGAAAAAGAAAGAAAAACACAAGAAGAAAACAAAGAAGAAACAAAGAATGAAGAAGAAAATTATAAAGAAAAAGAAGAAATTAAAATGCTACAAAACCAGATTAAAAGATTAGAAGAAGAAATTAAAGAATATCAAGCAAAAAGAATGGAAGAAGACCAAACCATCTCAGAAGAAATGATAGAAAAAGCAAAAGAAAAAGTCAGAAAAGAATTTAAGAAAGAAATAGAAAATAAGAAAAGAGAAATCAAGAAGGTGCAAACAATTTATAATGAAAAGAAGAAAGAAAATGAAAAACTAACAGAAGAAAATATAAAATCACAAGGTGAAATAAATGAGATAGAAGGAAGGAAAATCATGGAAATGAATAACAAAGGTGAAATACTGGAGAAGAAGAATAGTATGTTAGAGAAAAAAGCTGAAGCACTAGAGAAGAAGTTGAGGAGTTGAAAAATGAATTAAGAGATAAAGAAAAACAAATCTCTGAAATTCAACAAGCAGCAATAATAAGTCATGAGGTTGCAGAAAGAACAAGAGAAGAATTAGACAACACACAAAAAGAAAATGAGACACAAAAATAAATAATATCAAAACAACAAGATAAGAATGAAAATTTTATCTCACAGAAGGAACTAGAGAAGAAGAAAACGATGACACTTGTGATAAATACACAACCAGTACTGAGGAAAACATCATCAGAAACAATGGAGATGAACGAAACTACTCCTATGAAAAAGACAGTAGTGGAAATCGAAGAGAAAAGCACTGATTGTCAAAAAAAAGAGATGATAGTCAGACAAGAAATACAACATAAGAAAGAAATAGAATTTTAAATGAAGTATTGTATTGTTTTGCAATTAATTGATTAAATAAAAATTATATAAGAAATTAAGAAATGAACAAATAGAAAGCATTATAAAAGCAATAAACATCAATGTCAATAATGAAAAAGAATATATTAAATATATTAAAATATCACATAAAATAAAAGAAAATACTAAACAATACATTAAAGTGAAAATAAATGATATAATAGAAGGAAGAGTAGAGTGTAATTCAATAATAAAAAATATCATATTAAAGAATAACTCTACTGAAATTGATGAAGAATACTTTAACATTCTCATCAATAAAATGAAAGAAATGAAAATAGAAAAATGTTCAAACATTAATTACTATATTCAATGAAAAGAAGCTGACCGATTAATAATGGAAATTAATAATAGATGGATAATGTCAGGAAGCAGAATACAGGATCTGCAAGATGATATGAAGAAGATTTCAATGATTATGCACCTTTATCTCCAAAATAAAATAATAGGAGACAAATTTGATGAAATAAAAGAAATCCTAAAGAAAATCAATAGACTAGAAGATTTGGTTAAGGGAAGGAAATGGTACAGAATAAAGTGCATCATGAAATTAAAAGAACATGATGAAGAAGGAATAAAAGTTAAAGCACTAGAAAGAATAAAGTACCTAAAATATATGATGACAATGATCAAAGAAAGAATTAAATTTAATAAGGAAGAAATAATCAGAATCAATACAAATAAAATCATGTTTGATTCTAATAAGAAAATTAGAATAAGGAAGAAACAACAAATGAAATATACGCAAATAACAATATTACTTTAGAATATTGGAAATGTTATATGAAACACAGGTGATATTAAATAAAGATAATTGGAAAATAAAACAAATCACCTCGTGGAATGAAAGATATAGAAATTATGATAATGTCATAATAACAATAAATGAATTAAATTTAAGTATAATGAGAATAAGTAACTGGAAAGCACAATGAATAGACACTATATATGGGTATTATTGGAAAAGGATGTCATCATCAAGAGAAGCCATTCTCAATATCTTTAATGAATGGTTGAACTTCAATCAAAACATCCCATTAGACATGGTAAGTGGATGAACTTTATTAATCCACAAAGGAGGTGATATGAACGATGTCACTAATTATCGTCATATCAGTTGTACAAATGTAATTATGAAAGTATTTACCTCCATATTAAAAGAAAAGATTCACAGAAGACTTAACATAAATAATAAATCATTTAAAACTTGTAGGAATCAATTGTGGTGTAAGTTGCAATCTCTTGCTGCTAAAGAATGAATAATAATTAGTTATATATTAAAGCAGCAGAAAGAAGAAAAATAAACAAAATATGTGGAGTCATATTATGACATTAAGAAAACATATGACACAGTAAACCATGAATGAGTAATTGAATCATTAAAATATTTTAATTGTGAGGGAGTCATCATTGACATTATTGAAAGTATGATGACTAGATGAAAGATATTCATCGGCTATAAATTTAATGAATATCCATAATGATTAAATTAAATAGAGGAATTTTACAAGGCGATTCCTTATCAAATCTACTCTTCATCATTCAGATGAATGTATTTTCTCAAATCATCGAAGAGAAATTCCCAAAAGCAAATCACAACTTATATATGGATAATTTGAGAATAATGACAGAAAGTAGTGAAGAAATGTGAATAATCCACAATGAAATTAAAGAAATAATAAGTTACATATTGAAATGAATGAGAAAAGTCAGGAATGGTATTAAAAAACATTAAGGAAATACCAAATGGAATGCAAAACATCCCAGTCATTGAAGGTGATGACTTGTATAAATACTTAGGAATATGGCAGTCCGACGAAATTGATGACACCTTCAATTGTAAAACCATCAAAGAAAAAATGATGAAAAAGATGGAAGAAATAAACAGTGATGAAAGTAGTAATAGAAGATATATTACTAGAATAAACACAGAAGTAATCAATATCTTCAGACATTCAGTATCAGTTGTAAATTGGAAAGGTAACTTAGATAAAATTGATTTGGAGATAAGAAAATACTTAAGAAAGGCAAAATACAATGGTGAAACTCCAAAGATCGATTGTATGTTATTATAGAAGAAATGAATGATTAATAAACATAAATGAAGAATATGTTAATGAAATAATTAGAACAGGAATGTACTACTGTACCAGAGAAAGTGAAATAGGAAATAACATATTAGATAGATGGTACAATAAGAAGGGAATATGGAATAGAATTAAAAACATTAATTCATAAAATAAATGAAACAAAAATAGAAGAAATAATAAATGAATTTATTGAAAAGAAAAAAGAAAAAGAAGTAGTAGTAGAAATAAAAAAATTATTGACAAATACATCAAAATATGGAAGTGTCATCAAATTAGTGGACACTTCAGAAGATGGTTCGAGTCAAAAGGAGTAGATAAAACTACTACAGTGAAAGCATGGAAGTCCATCAATATTAAGAAAAATTCATTTCTTCAATTAACTAAAATGCAAGATGGAGCAATATTTTGTGGGTATAGAAAAGCAAAAATAATGAAAAATGAAAGATTGAAATACTGCCCACTTTGTAAAGACAAGACAGTAACAGTAGAACACATTCTACTATCTTGTATTTATCATAATAAATCACAAATGGAAAAACATGACAATATATGCATTATTATATTGATTAATAAGAAAATATACAGGAAATATTCAATATAAAAAACTCCCATATGAAACAATGTTCCAATATAAAGACATCATGATGATATGAAACGAATAAATAATGCATAAATACGGCAATTAATGAATATAGAAATTAAAATAGCAAGAAAGAATGGATATGTGTTAGTAGAATTAATATTAAAATATCTACTTTTTTATTGGAACTTTTTTGTTTTTTTTGAGTTTTTATTTTTTATGAAGAAAATCAATAAATAATAAAATTATGTTTTTTAGTCACGCAAATGAAAGTAGTAAAAAAATTCTGGGTATTTAAAGAATGTTTCAGTTATTATTATTTTTGTTTGTTTATAAAAACTTCATGAAGTATTATATCATGAGACAATATCACCAGTATTATCATATTTTGATATTACTCCAAACTCTATTATTGTAGAATCAGGAACAGGGTCTGGATGTTTATCAGCAGCATTTGGGTCACGTTTACAATTTGGGAATGAACAAGGTAAAGGACATTTATATACATTTGAATTTCATGAACAACGAAAGATTAAAGCAGAGGAAGACTTTAAAATGCTTGGTCTTGACAAAGTTATTACAGTTGTATTACGTGATGTTGTACAAAATGGATTTCTTGTTGAAGGGTTATTGCATGAGCAAGAAGCAGATTGTGTGTTTTTAGATTTGCCAAATGTATATGAAGCAATTACACATGCATATAATATACTCAGAGTTGGAGGTAAAATTTGTTGTTTCTGTCCATGTATTGAACAAATACAAAAGTCATGCCAAGAACTTAGAAAAGATGGTCGGTTCACCAATTTATTAACAAAAGAAAATGTTATTAGACCATATTCAATTAAAGGAGTTGGAAAAAGAAGTGATGATTGTATGTCGAGTGAAATATTGTGTTGTCCAACAAAAACAATTAAAGGACATGTTGGATATGTAACATTTGCTATTAAGGCTAAGTGATTAATTTTTCTGAAGAATTTGAAAATGAAGTTCAATTAAAAGAAATAAACAAACATCTCATTTTCTATATTTTCTTCTAACTAATTAGATGAGCAATAAACCTATTATAAAAAATAGAGAATTTGCTGAAATTCAAATTACAGCAGAACAACTGATCAGAGAAGCAAGAGACAATCAAACACCTTCTTATACACGACCTAAAATGACAATTCATGATGAAGAAGAATTACAAGCGTATAGATTAACTAAAAGAAAAGAATTTGAACAAGGTGTTACTAAAGAACGACAAAATCCAAAAAGATGGACAAGATATGCATTTTGGGAAGAAGAACAAGGAGAATATGTAAGAGCACGTTCAATATTTGAAAGAGCATTAGAACAAGATTACACCATAGCAGATACATGGATGAAATATGTTGATTTTGAATTAAGAAATAACCAAGTAAATAAAGCAAGAAATATATTAGAAAGAGCAACGAGTTTATTGCCAATGGTTTATAAACTTTGGTTTAAATATGTTAGACTTGAAGAAACAGTTGAGAATTTTGATCATTGTAAAGAAGTGTTTGAAAAATGGATGACATTTAAACCAGGAGAATATCCATGGCTTGCTTATATTAAATTTGAAATAAGAATAGGAGAAATTAAAGTAGCAAAAGAATTATTTGAACAAGCAAATCAACAACTTCATTGTGAAGAAATATATAAAGAATGGGTTGAATTTGAAAAAAGATTTGGAACAGTAGAAAGTACAAGAGAGTTATTTAATAAAATGGCAAAAGATATAGAAGTTTGTCAAAATTCATATTATCAAATGTTTGCAGAATTTGAATTAAGTCAAGGAGAAATAGAACGAGCAAGACAAATTTATTTATTTGGAATTGATCATAGTAAAGAAGAAAATAAAAGAATATTACTTAATAATTATGTAAAATTTGAAAAGATAAATGGAGAAATGAAAGATGTTGATAATGCAATTTGGAAAAAAAGAAGATTTGAATATGAACAAAAAATTCAAGAAAATCCATTTGATTATGATACTTGGTATGATTATATTCAAATGGAAATGAATGAAATTGAATCAGAAGAAACAACAACAATGCTTTATGAAAGAATTATAAGTCAAACTCCACAAGAAATAACTAAAGAAAAATGGACACGATATATTGAATTTTGGGTATTATATGCACGATATGAAGAAAAGTTACAACACTACGAAAATGCATTTGATATATTTTCAAGAACAATAAAAATTATTCCACATAAATATTTTACATTCAAAAAGGTATGGAGAGCATATGCAAATTATGCTAGAAGAAGAAAAAACATCCCATTAGTTAGAAAAATTTATGGTGCTGCTATTGGGTGGTGTCATAAAGATGATATTTTTAAAGACTATATTGAATTTGAAACAGAGAATGGAGAACAAGAACGAATTCATAAAATTCAAGCTAAATGGAATGAATTTAAACCAAAAGAAATAAAACAAGAAGAAGTCAATAATGAATAAGATAAAATTAATGTAAATGAATTTTATGGTAATGATAAACTTAAATTAATTGAGGTATTATTGTATAATGAATTATTGTTTGTTAAATCAAGTTTTAAACTAAAGAGAACTAGTTAATATCAATTGAGTTTGTTTGTAACAAATGCAAGACATTATGAAATTATTATTAAAATATCAACCTCGTTCTTTTGCAAAATTATGTCATTGGACTGAAACAACAGAGTTATTATATAATATAAGTCAAAATGGAAATCCACCACATTTAGTAATCCATGGAACAAATGGAAGTGGAAGATACACTTGTTGTATGTTATTTTTAAAAGAGATTTATGGTAGTGTTGTATTAGAATTAGGACAAGAAAAGTATGAAATTGATGAAGAACATGAAATAGTTTTGAAAGTATCTCCATTTCATGTTGAATTTAATCCATCACAATATGGGTTAAGAGATAGAATTACATTACAATTTATCATTGATAAAATGAAAGTTGGTTCTCAACAAAAAACACTTATAATTCACGAAGCTGACAAACTCACTAAAGAAGCTCAATTTGCTGTAAGAAGAGCAATGGAAACAGGCAATTGGAGATATGTCTTTATCACAGAGAATATTTCTGCAATGATGAAACCTTTACGTTCAAGATGTTTAGATATTAGAATAGAGCTTCCAACCTATGATGAAGTAGATAGATTAATAACGAACATATGTCAACAAGAACATACTCATATAACCCAAAAAGATAAAGAAATGATATTAAATTCCAATAACGGTAATTTAAGAACAACATTAATCACTCTCTTTGTATATATTCAAACTAAACACTTATTTAAACCAACTTGGAAAATATCTTGTGAACTTATTGTCAAAACAATCGTTGTTACTCCAAATGTTGAAGTCATTCCAAAATTAATTCGTCCTAAATTATGTGAGTTTATTGAGAATGGTCTTTCACCATCATTAATATTAAAAGAAATTTTTACTTTATGTATGAATTCAAACATTGACCAATTGTATAAACTTGGTGTTGTTGAAATAATTCATAAATTTGTTTGTTATTCTTTTTCTCTTATTATTCAACCAATCATCTTCTAATTAAATTAGGACAAGTCATTAAAACAAGGACAAAACCCATGGATTCATGTAGAAAATGCAATCACAGCTTTGATGACTTTATTTTCTGCTCACAAATGACTTATTTGATTGTATTATTACTGATATAAAAAAATTATTTGAAATTATGTTAATCATTTCAGTGCAAAAATTGTAAGAACTTCTTCCAAAAACGATTAACTAAAATTGTCTTATATTTCCTGAGTTGTTCCAATTCAATCCCATACACTATTTATAGAAAATGGCAAAAACTTTCTTAAAAAAAGTAAACACCTATCATTTTTTCCAAATAAAGTAAAAAAAAAAGAAGAAAATGTACTAGGGTTTTATTTTTTGAATTAATTTTTTTTTATTAATCTGCGATTAGAATAACAAACAAATATAATTTTCCTGTTTTTTGTTCTGGAATAAAAATAACCCTGTCTCTTTAATTCTTTACTAATAAAAAAACTATAAATGACAAGTAAATTACAATAGCAAAGTTCTAATAAAGAACTTTGTAGAATAACAGAACCACGAATTATTTTTGGAGAATAAAAAAGAAAAAATCAAACTGAAATCAACTTCAAAATTCTATATATGAGAAATGGAGATTGATAAGAAGATTGAACCTTGTATCAACCGGCAACCAGCAGTTATTTTGAAAAGAAGTGTAACAGGTAATATGGCTTTTGATATTATCAATAACGGTGATGTTAATGAACTTAAGAATTTTATTTGTAATGGTGGTGATGTTAAAAGTAAAAACAGTAATGGTATAACAACATTAATGTTGGCGTGTGGTTCTGGTAATTTTGGTATGGTAAAAGTTTTATTAGAATTTGGTAAAATGAATATTACAGACCGTTTGTTTTTTATTAGTAATACAATAATTGAGCAAGTAGACCAACGAATTAGGTGATAATAAAGGGAGAAATTGTTTACATCATTTATGCTTAGGAAGACATGAAAATCCAGAGATATTTCATATTATTCAACCACGATTTCTTATTCAAATCAAAGACAATGATGGAAAGATACCATTAGAATATGCGGTCCAGTTACAATTACCTTTGTTGGTTAAATTAATATTAGATATTGGTAATTATACCGATGTGAAATTATGTTATGATTTTAGTAATAACGTTATTGTTAAACCAGACAATGCAAATAGATATGGATTTGTTGTAGACTCAACAGAAAAGTCAATTCCTTTTATTCTTGCACAACAAACAAAACAACAAATAAAACAAATGACACTTCGTCTTCCAAAGTGGGAAAATATGATTTTGTTATTAAAGAAAGGTGTATTTCATCCCAAATTTGTTAATAGAATGTACAAAGGAATGCCTGATGAAGTACGTAGTGAAGTATGGAAATTATTATTACTTAAAGATGTAGATTATGAAACATTAAAAGATGAATTTAATAGATTAAATCAACCATACACAAAAACACCTATTGACAAACAATTGGATTTAGATGTAAAACGAACATTTCAATTACATTATACTTATAAAGTACCATATGGAGGTAATCAGAAAGTGTTATTTAATATTTTTCATGCACTAGCTTCAAGAACAGAAAATTTAGAATTTACTCAAGGAATGACTTGTGCACCATCTATTTTAACATTATTTCTTGATGAATATAGTTCATATGCAGGAACTGTTCAATTTTTAGGGGAAAAATATCGTTTAAAAGAAATGTTTAGTAATTTTAATTTACTAACACGATGTTGGAATATCACTCGATTATTATTACAAAAAAGAAATCCTAAACTCGCACAAAAATTAAAACAACTTGGTATTATTGACCAACCATTACCATTTTTTATCTTTGATTGGCATTATACATGGTTTATTAACGCATTTAATTTTGAGTTAGTATTAAGAATATTTGATGTTATTATCTTAGAAGGATTTTATGCATTATTTTCTGTTGCAGACACTGTATTTCATTTCTTAGAAAATGAAATATTAAATGTTCAAAACACTAATGTATTACAACAAGAACTTAAAACACCATTAGTATTATTAAAACAGCCACCAACTGTAAATCAATTTATGAAATATATGGAAAAACATAAAATCAAATCAAGTGAAATTGACTCACTCTTGAAATTGTAAATTGTATTATTCTTCTCTTTCTAAAAAGAAAGTAAAATTCATTAATTCATGTATTTTTATTTAATTAACATTATTTTATTATTGTTATCTTATATTAAAATAAAATCATTTATTAATTATTTTAATTATTCTGTTCCAATTAATTTAGATTGTTGTTGTTTGTCTTTTTTTAATTGTTTTAAAATTTCTCTTTTTTTCTTTAATGACCTTTTTTTTCTTAAACGCTTTTTTTGGTTTTGTTCTCTCTTTTTCATGAATTGAATATTTTCTTTACGTACCCTTTCTGATATTTCTTCTAATGTCTCTTTCTAAAATTTGTAAGTCTTTTTTTATTTTTTTTTTCATTTAATTCACTTCTTTATTTTTGTTACAAACTAATTTCTTATTTTCTTGTTCTTCTTTTTCTTCTTTTATATGTTGTTCTTCTAAATATGCTTTATAATCATCACTTCCATGTTCTGTAATACTTTTAATTATTGACTCACTCATATCAATTTAATTTACTTTAATTATTTAGTTTTGTTAAATCCTTTTTTAATTTTATTATAAAAAAAATGTTATAAAAATTAATAAATTCTTACCAAATCCATTAAATCATTTAAAGATAACGCTCACAGATCAACAAAGGAAGAAGGAACAAAAAAGTGAAGAAGAGTGCATAAATAAGACAAGCTAGTGTTTCTCCATAAAATTTTATTAATACATTCATTCGCATAAAAGTTAATGTTTTAGAAATTCCTTCTTTATAATTATTATACAATGAATGTTGCTCAATGAAATGAACAATCTCGTCAATGACAAGATCATTATAAAACTCTATTCCTTCTTTTATACTACCTCCAATTTTTGTTATTTTTTGATAAATTGTATTAGATGATTGTTCTTCTATTTTTTCTTGTTCTGGAATAAGTTCTACTTCTTTATTATTATTAAATATTGTACGATAAAAATTAATAATACTATGTTTTGTAAATCGAGCACCATCTAATATAACTGATATCAATTTGTTAAAATAAAATACCATTCCTCTGATTATTTTAATGAATTTTGTTTTGATGACACTACATAAATGAATGATACTTTGTTTAATAACAGTTATATATGACATTTGTTTGGATTTAATTGTTTCAGTTTCTGTAGTTTCTTGTTTTGACTCTTCTTCTTTTTCTTCAATAATTGGAACATATTCTTCTGGAATAACAACAACTTCTTCTTCAATAGTAATTGGTTCTTTATTATCATTTTGAATAGGTTTATTAATTTCTTCTTTAATGATTTCTTCAAACTCTTGACTACCATCTTCAATATTCAAATATTCACTCTCTTCTTCAACATCAGCTACTTCTTCTTTTTCTTCATTTGAGCTACCAAAGTATTGTTTTAATTTGTTATATAAATCAATTGTTTTGTCTTTGGCAACTTCATAGGCAATACTTGTTTGTTCTTTAATGTTAATATAAACTTCATGGCCTTTCTCTAATGCAGAACTCAATAAAGTTTCTCCTTTTTCTTTAGTATATTCTACACCTTGTTCAATTTTGTCTTCAACAACTTTAATTGTTTCTTTTGCTTTCTGTGCCCCTTTCTTTGTGTATTCTATAGCTTTATCTTTAATTTTTGCACCTGTTTCTTTAACTTTATTGGCTCCTTTTTTTGTATATTCGATTGTCTTTTCTTTAATTTTTATACCTGTTTCTTTAGCCTTATCATAAAAATTTTCAGTTTCTGGTGTAATTTCATTTTCTTCAAATTGAAAATCAAGAGGTTCTGGTGTAATAAATGTTGGTTCTTTTTCTAAAACGGCAATCTCATTAACTGGTGCAATAGTAAACAAGGTGGTGATACTTGTGAAAATTACTGCAGCAAAAGCTAGATACTGATTCATATGATTTCGGTTCTAAATAATCTAGTTTTAATCTACAAAACGAAAATAACCAAAACCCTTAATTTTTCTCTTTTTTCTCTTTTTTAATTTACATTTTTCTCTTTTTAATAACTTCATATTAAAAAAAAATTTTAAACATCCAATAATTTCAATGAAATATTTAACGTTATATATAACATTATTTATACTTAATAAACACAGAAACATTAAACAATTCCTTAATGGAACTAAGAATTTATTCATGAAAAAGAACTAAAAAGATATAATTTTTTATGCTATTATTTGTTATCTTGCATATTATTTATTCTTGTCAAGGGAATTTTGTTAGTAAATGTAGTGACCAAGATTTGAATGAATTAAATAGTCAATCACGTCATGTGATGATAATGATTCTTCATGAAGAGAATAAAGATTTTATTGATAAATATGAGAAGTTTGCTCAAAAGAATCAAGATTTAGATGTGGATTTTAAATATGCTTTAAAGGAAAATAGTCAACAAATTATTAAAGAAAGAGACATTTCATTATACCCTGCTTTTATTATCATTCGTCATCACAGTCAAAAAGATATGATTTTGCAGGGAGGATTTGATTTAGCTAAATTACAACAATTTTTTGATATTTCAACATTACCTATTATATCCTATTTTATGGACCAATCTAGACTTAGTATGTATTCAAATAAACAATATACTTCTTCTTTTGTTTTTGAAAGAAACAAAGATATTATATTTAATCCATTCTTTAATGAATTTATTTCTACTTCTTATTCACTTGCTCCATTAACTGATAATAAATTCTATTATACAGAAACTGGCATTCCACAATTTCAATTGTCATATTTAGATAATATGCGTTATTCTGATGAAACAGAGAAATTAGTTTATAGTGCAAAATCTAATTTAACTATTCAATCATGGATGTATCGAGTTGCTTTACCTTTGTTTCAACCTATTAATGAAGATATAAAAATGATATTGAAAAGGTCTGGTATGAATGCAATTATTATTGTTGATAATGAAATTAGTAAAATTGACTATCTCAATTTTGTCTCTATTGCTCGAAGTATTAGAGGTCATCTTGGGTTATTATATTGTACTAAAGGTAGTTATTATGACCATCAAATTGGTGGTAATTCAAGAATTAGAGTTGTTAATTCAGATTTTAAGAAAATAGATGAAGGTATTATTGTTGAAGACGTTATTAAGAAGCATACTACAAACGATAAAATTGGAGATCTTAGAACATTCAAAGAAATTGATGCTGAAACTAATCCATTATATGAGGTTGTTAAAATGATGCTTAATTCTGGACAATATTCTCAATTATTTGATAACGAACATTATAAACCTTATATTAATATTTTCATGCAAATTCTTGCAAATAAAACATTATCAACAGATGTATATTCATTATTGAATCAGTTTAATAACATTGACTTTTCTTCTGATGATTCTGATGTTGATGAAATTATTGATTTCCTTAAAAATGATAAATTATGGAATGTTCTTGATGCTATTCAATTCAAAGATATTCCTCAAGAACATCTCATCTTTATTAGTAATGCTCGTCGTTTAATTCATGATGAGTCTGCTTCCAAAACATTAGAAACAATTGTTAGAAGAGCATTCAGGTCTGAGGTTGTGAAACAATTCTTTAAAAATCATCCAGACTCTGATTCAATTTCATCAAATGAAGTATTTGCCTTATTAGAACAACCTGAAGTTAAAGTTATAGTAGATGATATTAAAGAATTAATAAAAACTGTTGATGAAAAAAAATTATTTGAAAAACGTGAATTATAAATCATTTTAATTCATTTAAATATTTGTATTTTGGCTTTATTTTATGTATCTTTTGTTATTAACAAAAGACTATTTTAATAGACATTTATTCATTGACTTCTATTCTAATTAATAATTATTGTATTTGATTCTATTGAATATATTTCTTTGGTAACATTTTTATAATTTGGAGTTTTTATAGTCAAATTATAAACAGCTAATAGAAATAAGACTAATTTGTCTCACATTGATTAAACATAATAACAATTTCTTTAATAAATAAGAAAAGAGAGAATTAAAATAAAACACATACTTTTAAAAAGAATTAACAAACAACACAATAATGTAAGTCAATAAAAGTATTCAATTATTTAGATAACATCACAATATTGAGCAATAACTTGACTCACCATATCTTCAAGAGTATCAATGTCAGGAAGACTTGACGTCATTCCATAAACTGGTGCCCATACATTGTATTTAGGATTTTTTGGGTCTTTTCTAATGATATCTAGTGCTTTATTTAAATCTTCCATGAATTGTTTTTCACATCCAATAGTTTTTTCTGTTACACAAAAATGAACAGCCGCAGGGAATTGTAATGTATTAAATTCCCATTGAAATTCTTTATTCATACAATCACTAACTTTATAAATATTTAGATCTGTTGTAGTAAATGCAACTACTGGTGTATCTTGTTCCATATCATTTAATATTTTAATATTACTCA